AAGGTGTTCAAAGGGGTTTTGGGGAGAGTCCAGGTGTTGTCTTTTGTCTGCCATCTTGGCTCCACCTGATGCCAACGTTTTTAGGAAAAGAAGGTCTGTGGCACTCTCAAATGCCAAAGACCTGAACGAGTATGTTGATGTAGGTAGAATTGTCATTTTTATTTCTGGCGGCTATGTGGGGCAGTGGATAGAACACCAGGCCTAGAGTCAGGAAGACCTAAGTTCAAATTCAGGCTCAGATACTGATTAGCTGTGAGGCCCTGGGCAAGTCACTGTTTGCCTCAGTTCCTCATCTGTAAAATGCACTGGAGAAGGAAATGGCAAACTATTCCAGTATCTTTGCCAAGAAAACCTCAAATGGGGTCAGAAAACGTTGGACATAACTGAACAATAATTTGAGTTTTTTGAGTAATTTTTATTATATTGGCTTGGCCTACCCATGGGCAATTAACATTTCTTCAATTGTTTAGATCTGTCTTTATTTGTGTGAAAAGTGTTTTGTAATTGTGTTCACATAGTTTCTGGGTTTGTCTTAGCAGATAGACTCCCAAATATTTTATATCATTTGCAGTTATTTTAAACAAAATTTCTCTATCTCTTCTTGCTGGACTTTGTTGGTAACATAGGAAAAGGATGATGATTTAAGTAAGTTTATTTTATATCTTGCAACTTTGCTAAAATTGTTAATTGTTTCAACTAGTTTTTATAGTTGATTCTCTAGTATTTTCTAAGTATAACATCATATCATCTGCAAGGAGTGACAGTTTTGTTTCCTCATTGCCTATTCTAATTCCTTTAACTTCTTTTTTTTTTTGTCTTATTACTATAGCTAGAATTTCTAGTGCAATATTGAATAATAGTGGTGACAATGGCCATCCTTGCTTCACTCCTGATCTCATTGGGAAGGCTTCTAGCCTATCCCCATTATAGATAATGCTTGCTGCTGGCTTTTAGATAGAAAAACACTTAACTTTTAAGGAAAGTGTCATTTATTCCTATGCTTTCTAGTGTTTTTAATAGGAATGAGTATTGTATATTGTCAAGAGCTTTTTCTGCCTCTATTGAGATAATCATATGATTTCTGTTGGTTTTATTGATGATATAGTTAATTATGCTGATAGTTCTCCTGATATTAAACCAGCCTTGCATTCCTGATATAAATTCCACATGGTCATAGTGTATAATCTTTGTGGTATATTGCTGTAATGTCCTTGTTAACATTTTATTTAAATTTTTTTGCATCCATATTCATTAGGGAAATTGGTCTGTAGTTTTCTTTATTTTTGTTCTTCCTGGTTTAGTATCAGCACCATATTTGTGTCATAAAAGAAATTTAATAGAACTTCTTTTTTGCCAGCTTTACCAAATAGTTGATGTAGTATTAGAATGAATTGTTCTTTAAATGTTTGGTAGAATTCATTTGTGAATCCATCTGGTCCTGGCGATTTTTTCCTTAAGGAACTCACTTATGTCTTGTTCAATTTCTTCTTATAAGATAGGATTAAGTATTTTATTTCCTCTTCTGTTAATATGGGCAATTTATGTTTTTGCAAGTATTTTTTTTTGTTTGCTTTTTTAGGCAATTGGGGTTAAGTGACTTGCCCAGGGTCACACAGCTAGTAAGTGTGTCACGTGTTTGGTCTGAGGCCAGATTTGAACTCAGGTACTCCTGACTTCAGGGCCGGTGCGCTATCCACTGTGCCACCTATCTGTCCCATGTTTTTGCAAGTATTCATCCTTATGTTGTCAGATATGCTGGCATATAATTGGGTAAAATAGCTCCTAATAATTGCTTTAATTTTATCTTAATTGGTGGTATATTCATCTTTTTCATTTTTGATACTGGTAATTTGGTTTAATTCTTTATTTTTTTAAATTAAATGAACCAGTAATTTATCTATTTTATTGTTTTTTTTCATCAAACTACTTCCTACTTTTATTTTTTGAATGGTTTTTGAATGGTTCGATGTTTTGTTTTGTTTTACTTTCAGTTTATTAATTTCTCCTTTGATTTTCAGGATTTCCATTTTGGTGTTTAATTGATGATTTTTAATTTGTTCATTTTTAGGTTTTTTTTTTTTAATTTGCATGCCCAATTCACTGAACTGCTCTTTCTCTATTTTTTTTTATGATGTAAGCATTTAGAGAAATGAATTTTCTTCTAGGCACTACTTTGGCTGTGTCCTACAAATTTTGCTATGTTGTCACTTTGTTGCCATTCTCTTTAATGAAATTATTGATTTTCCCTTTGATTTGTTTTTTTGACATACTCAAAGCATGAAAATCTGAAGATACACAGAGAAACAGTCCATGAGAAGGAAAATGGGAGTTGTCTAAAAAGACTGGCATAGATACACAAGGAATTCACCAACCAATTTAGATTTTTAAAAATATGTGTACAAGATGGAAACAAGGACAGGTAACAGAGGATGAATACAAAGGTATTGTACAGCAATATAAAAGCAGTGTCCAGAAGGTTGAGGCTCATAATAAGCTTAGGCTAGCCAAAGGAGTGAAGAAAACAAAAAGGGGGTTTTGTTTGTTTGTGTCTGTTTTTGTTTTTTAGGTTTATTAGGGGAAAGAGGAAGATCAAAGAAGGGCCTAGGACTGCTTCTCTGGAGGGTTAGGATGATAATAATTAACAATAAAGGAAAAGCAGAGTATTTTGATTCAATTCTGTTATCTCTGGCAAAGAAAATAACTTTGTCTTGGAAAGAACAGGACAAATATGGTTAATAGAGACCTGATACCCAAAATAAGTAAGGAGCTAGTAAAAAGTATACCTACTGGCATTATTTTTCTTTGATTCAAATCACTCGGCCCAGGTGACCCACATTCTCAGGCACTGAAAGAACTGGAAGATATGACTGATGAGACCATGTCAGCAACTTCTGAAGATACTGGAGAGCTAGAAAGAGCCATGGGATTGGAAGAGGACAAACATTCTGATTTTCTAGGGGTGGGGAAGAGACTACAGCCTTCAAACTATAGGCTATGAACTTGACTTTGATTCCCAGGAAAATAATATCATAGATTATTAAAGAGATGATTAATACACATGTAAGAAACGAAGCAGGAACTCCAAGAGTCAATATGGCTTCATTAAAAACAAGTTATATCATGCTAGATACACATACACATCTACCTATACCTAAAGATACCTATACCTATGTTATATACACATACATATATATATGCATATATGTGTAGATAGCTATACATATATATATATATCACACATATATATCTATACATATATACCCACATGTATGCATATACTTGTATACCTACACATATATCTAGACCTATCCATATACATGATTATACCTATACATATACCTAAACACCCACAAATATATTTACAAATATGCATACCTACACATATATACACCTATACATATACTGTTGTTGCTCAGCCTTTTAGTTGTGTCCAGCTCTTCATGACCCCATGGATTCATGCACACCAGTACTGTCTATATGGTTTTCTTGGCAAAGATAACTGGAGTGGTTTGCTATTTTCTCCTCCAGTGAATTGAAGCAAATAGAGGTTAAATGCCTTATCCAGGGTCACACAGCTAGTAAATGCCTGAGGCCAGATTTGAACTCAGGTCCTTCTGACTCCAGGCCCAGCACTCTATCCACTGACCACCTAGGTGCCTCACTATACGTACATAAATACATACATACACACATATAAATAAATAAATAAATAAATGAATATATATATATATATATATATATATATATATATATTCACACCTATGCATGCAACTATATTTAGACCTAAATATATACCTAAATATGTGTGTGTGTATGTATATATACATATACATATACACATATACATACATTTGACCAGTAGATCAGAGGAATGCTTAGATATAGTTTCTCCAGGTTTTAGATTTTGGCAGCTAATTGATGCAATGCATAGATCTCTGGACGTGGAGTCAAGAAGTCAAGAATTCAAATCTAGCCTCAGACACTTACTAGTGTGACCCTGGGCAAGTCATTTAACTTCTATCTCCCTTAGTTTCCTTATCCGTAAAATGTGGATAATAACCTATCACCCTGGGTTATTGTGAGGATAAAATGAAATATTGGTGAAGTGCTTGGCAAACCTTGAAGTACTGTATCAATCCTAGCTATTTATAAAAACCATTTAATAAAGTATCTCGTGTTATTCATGGGGGAATGTGGAACAATGTGGGTTGGACAATAACTCAATTAGATATATCCAGAACTGACTGAATGGCTTTCTCAAAGGATAGCCATTAACAGGGCACCGTAGCAGGAAGTCTGTAGTAGAGTACCCCAGTGATTATGCTATTTAACATTCTTATCAATGACTTAGATAAAGGCCTACTGGCATCCTTATCAAATTTACAGTGGACACAAAGCAGAAGAGGATAGCTAGCACACTGTATAATAGAGTCAGCATCCAAAAAGGTCTTGATAGCCTAGAACATGGTGCCAAATCTAACAACATGAACTTTAAAGAGGAAAAATATAAAATCTTGAACTGTGATTCAAATAATCAGCTCTACAAAGTATAAGATCAGGAAGGCATGTTTAGAAAACAGTTGGTCTGAAAAAGGATTAGGCATTTTCATGGTTTGAAAGCTGAATGTGAGTCAACAGTATTATGTCGCAGTCAAAAAAGCTAATGTACCATTGGGCCGCATTGAAAAGTATGACCTCCAGGACTAAAATGATGCCAGTCCTACTGTAGTCTGCCCTAGTCAGACCTTATCTGGAGCATTGTGTCCAGTTCTAAGCACCATCATTTAGGAAGGACCAGAGACTTTCTAGGGGAAGGAAGCCAAGATGGTAAAGGACCTTGAATTCATTCCCTAAGAAGATCAGATCTAGGGACTGGATGTGCTTAATATGATGGTGGGGGTGGGAGGGGGATGGGAGATGCTAGCTGTCTGCAACTGTTTGAAGGGCTGTTATTCAGAAGGGGAACTAGATTTTTTTTTTCTGTTTGTTCCCAGAGAACAGAACTATATGTAATGGGAGGAAGGTGCAAAGGACGAATTTAGAGAGAAGATGCAGATATTGTGCTCAAGGTTTCAAGATCCTTGATCCAGTCATGCAGAGCTAGGTAAGGAGAATCGGAAGAACCGTATCCAAGACATTTGAACACTGGGTCTAGGCTGGGTGAGTCTGCTTCATGATATCAGTATCCACCCATAGCTATTTCCTGGTTCTTCAGGAAATGTCATTCCAGCATATTCTGGGATCTCCGATCCCAAATCTCCCTCCTGCATTTCTCTTCCTAACCAGGCTGTGCTCAAGGCAGGAAGTTCCATTGGCCAACCCCTAGTTACACCTCTACTCTAACCATGAACTGGGAGAGGATGGATATCTATCTTTTCTTTCTCTCTTTACCTACTTCCTTTGAGCTCCCAGCTTGTGCTCTACTCACAACATTCTTCTCAGAATTACATGTCAAAGCAGTTTATTATTTGTGTCACCCTATCAGGAAGGTCACTGAGGGCCAGGGAGCCCACATATAACTTGTAAATTGGGAATATTTCTCTTGAAAACAATTGAGAGGCTAGGTTAAGAGGTCACCCTTAGTAGAAGTTTCTTTGCTTGCCCAGTAAGAAAACAAAAGAGTTTATGTTGTTTTTCAGGTATTTCAGAAGGTAATGCTTTTCTTATGGAGGAAGGAGAATGGATAAGTTCTCTGAACTCTTGACCTCCCAGTATTTAGCAATGACCCACATCTATTGGGTAAGGTGTAGCGTGACCAGTCTGGTCCTCATCAGAAGTCAGGAGCCAGGAAACGTAGCCATCATTCAAGCACACCATCCTGGTACTCCTGGGTAAGTGTCAAGCTCTCTACCCTGCTCTTAGAGCATCTGACTGCCTTTTACCTCCTTATCTTCACTCCTTTGTGGCTGGATTCCTCCTTGAGGTCGGGCCTGTGTCATTTAGTCAAATCTCATGCCCCAGGTTCCCACGCTACTTAGGAAACCTCTCCTTTTCACCCTATAACTGCTGTGTTTCATTCAATGTCATTGCTAAGACATATTGTATACTATTTTTGTGATGTAATTTTCATAATTTTTTTGCTTCAAATGAGGATCATGTACAAAAGATATAGAATAGGGGTAGGAAGGGAGATGCTGAGCTTCAACTCAGAGGAAGCACAAGTATACTGTGACAGTTTCTAGTCCAATTACTAGGTGGTTTAAAAAAAGGCCTTTTTGGGAGTAAATACTAAAAAAAAATGTTCTTTTCTTTACTGCACAGTAATCAGGCTGGGAGCAGCCACAAAATATCTGTGACTATGCTGAAATGCCAAGTGTGGCCTTGCATCACTCTACATCATCACAGATTTTCAGAAGCAGGCTCACTGAGCTTCAAAGTGGATACCTGCACATATTCCTAGAACCTGGCCTTCTTAGTTTTTGTATTTTTTATCCACAAGGATGATGACAAGACGCCTTGTACAAAGTAGGTGCTTAATAAATGCTGTGAATTTGTTGAATCAAGTTAAGATAATGTCCTAAGGTATACAAAGCATTTTCCTCACAACAAGTATGGCAAGGTATACAATAAAAATTTTATTATCTATATTTTGCAGATAAGGAAGGGGTTAAGGGCCTTTTCCATGGTCACACAGCTAGTGATTGTCAGAATGAATTCTTTTATTTCCATTCAGTGTTCTTTCACTCATGCCACACTGCCTCTGATTAGTCACTGTTAGCACCCCAACATGATCTCTGAAGAAGATCATATTTCCATAGTGATCTAATGATGGAAAGCTGGAGCGTGGGGAAGGGGGAGGGGAGTGGGACCAGTTGTTGTTGTTCAATGGTTTCAGTCATGTCAAACTCTTCATGACCCCAGTTGAGGTTTTCTTGGCAAAGATATGGAGCGGTTTGCCATTTCCTCCTCCGGCTCATTTTACAGATGAGGAAACTGAGGTAAACAGGGTTAAGTGACTTATCCAGGGTCACATGGCTAGTAAGTTGCTGAGGCTGGATTTGAACTCAGGAAAATGAGTTATCCTGACTGTAAGTCTGATACTCTCGGTTCAAAATCATGCCCATCGTTTACTACTTGAATGACCATGGGCAAGTCACTCCATCTCTCCAGGTCTCAGTTTCATCATCTATAAAATGACAAGTTTGGACTAGATCATCTCCCAGGGTCACTTCCAGTTCTAAATTCAAGATCTCCTGAATTGATCAAAGAATGATAAAGCTGAGATAGATCTCAAGAGAATATCTCCTCTAGCCTCCTGCCTTTAAGCAGGTAATGTCTAGGGCCCAATAACATCAAAGTGTGATTTAAACCTCTAGCACTCTTGGGTCATAAGTCATGTCATATTTCTAGTGGCCTCTAACCCCTACAAATATAAACCATCCCATGGGAGAAGAGCTGATCCAAATTGAGAAGATGAAGGATAGGAGTTCTTGATAATTTTTTTGTATCGTGGACCCCACTGGCCATTTCACCAAATTTTCAAAAAGCCTATGAACCCCTTCTCAGAAGAATTTTTATTCATAGGATTACAACAGAAGCCAATTATGTTGAAATACAGTTTTCAAAATATAAGAAATAAAACAAATTCACAGACTCTAGGTTAAGAACCTCTCACCTAGGGGGTGGAGAGGAGAAGGCCAGTGACTTGGCCTATTGCCTAGAGGCATGAACCTGTTGCAGCAAGCAGGCAAGCAATCTCATGTGAAGTGAATTTCCACAGTGGGGACAGCCACTCAAGAAAAGGAAGGAAGTTTGCAGTTCATTTGAGAAGGCAAGTGCGGCGGAGGTTGTAAGCAGTGTCTTGGCACTCAGCTACTTCCTCTGAGCCTCCACCAGGGTTGTGATTGCCATATTATTATGCTTCTCATCCTGTGAGGAAGGTGATATTGGGTTGGACCAAGGCAGCAGGATGTCTGTAGTAAAGAATGAGGCAAGGTGCTCTTTTCCTCGTTCCCTTGGGAGGAGATAGAGCAACAAATATATGGTGCCTCTGAAAAGTTTTTGAATCCTCTCTGGTGTACTAACAGTTTCCTGTGTTCTGAGTCCGGTTCCTGCCAAGGAGTTATGTCAGTCAAGTCATTCTGGCTGGGAGTGTTGTGGAGATGCCATAATTCATTGCACCTGTGAAGGGAGAGAAGGCTACGTGGGCTCTGTGGTTTTCACTTGCTCTGGTTTTCTGTCATCAAAGCCAGGTTGGGGGTCATATGGATTGCTCAGTCTAACTTAATCCAGGATGGTCCAATGCAATCTAAACCAAAAAGCATTTATTGAATAAATTTAAAAGAATTTATTATGTGCTTATTATGTATGTAGTCCAGTCTCAGCCCCCCACCCACTGGGGGAGGGTGACTCGAGAGACTTGGGTCTCAAATACCTGCCCTCTTGGTGGGGTTGAATTTTAGCCAGCACTCACCAAGCCTGGGGAGCTCTGCCCTGAACTCGGGGTGGAAAAGGGTTGATGGGAAGAAGAAAGAATAAACTAGCATAAGCAAAATTATGGAGGAAGTCAACAAAAGGGGAGGACACAGGGAAGCCAATGAAGGTGGCACAAGAGATGCCATGCTGGATTAGAGAAGAGATCTTATAATCACTCTCCCTGCTCCTGATCCCCTACTCCGTGAAGTTTCAATTAGTGCTATGGCCACCACTCCATTATGGTATATTACCTATTGATTGGCAACCAGTCCATCGAGAATGTGAGATAGGGACCTCAGTTTGGCCAATGTCTTAGGACACATAGTGAGCAAATGCAGATGCATTATTGTCTGTTAGTTGATGTTATGTCCATTTTTAATTAAGTGGTTTTGAAATAATAGCACATTATATTCTACCTCATTTCCTGCATGTATAAGGTACTGAAAGGGCTGCATTTGTAACATTTCCTTCAGTTATAATGGATCAAACTGTTCCATATTATTAGTCTTGCATGTTCTGTAGTAATTCTCAACAACTAGCCATCAATACTTGCTCCAGCATCTGCATGCCTTGGGAATCAGTATGGGGGTATACAAATGTAAGCTGCTTGAGAGATGGTTCCTCTATGAGGGGCAAGGCATCCCATGAGACAATGCCCTAGATACTTCACTGTAGTTTTGATCTTATGGATTCCTGGAACCAATAAATGGCTGGCCAGAACTGTAGTGTGCTGCTGGCCACCTCGCCTAATTGGGCAACTATGTGGGTTTTGGGGGAAGAAAAATAACAATAACCATTTATTGTTTTGATTGATTGTTTTGATTGATTCTAGTTTATTACAATTAGTAATAGAACATATTTATCTGATCCATTAAGGATTAAAAAGTGCTTTTCTCATAACACCCATGAAGTAGACAGTACAAGTATCTGTATCTCCATTTCTTTTTCAGTCCAGGCCCAACTCAGACTAGTCCAGTGGTTCCAGTTCAGAATTGCAATGTAATAAGACATTTGTAAACTACCTAGCAGCTAACAAAAGGAAATTTACTTAGCAATGGCATAGAAAGGATATTCAGCAAGGACATAGCGTTGATTCAGATGGGTGTAGCTTCCCTCTGTCCTCACTGGCAATGCTGGCATGAGCTTGTGTCAGACCTGAGAGTGTGGAAACACTGGACTCCTTTTATAATGGCTTTTGTACTCAGGTGACCATGTGTCAATGGTTTAAGTATTAGTCCCCTGGATCTTAAGTCTTGAGAATGGTTTCAAAGCCTTTTGAAGAAAAACTAGTCTAGCTCTCTGAGGTAGATATTGTTCCTATGATTTGGGAAAGTGGAGACTAAGAGGTCAGTGAAAAGATAGGCTATTGAATATAAGTTCCTTGCAACTAGGGATTTTTCCTTGCTTTAAAAAAAAAAACAACAAGAACAAGAAATGTGTATCCCTAGCAACTAATACAGTGCCTAGCACTGGTAGACTCTTAGTAAATGCTTGTTCATTGTTTCATTGATTAATAAGATCTAAAACTGGAAGGAATCTTAGAGATCATCTGCTTTGACTCTCTTGTTTTGTGAATAAAGAAACTGAGACCTAGAGAGTCATTTCAAGACTTTTAAAAGATCACATAGGCATTAAATAACAAGGCTAGGATTTGAACCCAGGTCCTTTCTGACTCCTAATTAGGGTTTTTACTATATGATTTCTCCCATGTTACACAGCTTCTGAGTGTGAGAACCAGAACATGAACCTAAGTTTGTTGATTCATACACAGAGAGATAATACTTCTGGAAGAAAGATAAAACAAGGATTGCTAAGGATTTCAAAGTCCTACACAAGAAATTAAGGATCTCAAGGACACAGGAACTGTTTTCATTATGGCTGCCAGTACCAGATAGGGACTTCAGAGAAGAGGGCAGATTTAGGAAATGAATAGCTGGTAAGAAAAAAGTGTTTGATCAGTCTATATCAGTCATAATCAAGATTTTGGCCTTTAGGACCGTTTTACACTTTTTAAAATTATTAAGGACCTCCCTGAAAGAGCTTTTGTTTATGTGGGGTATGTCTATCAATACTTTATTACATTAAAAATTAAAACATCTGAGTATTACAATGAAAATAGTTTTGAACTTGTAGAACCATTAAAAAAAATCTTTAGGTCCCTGGACTATACTTTAAAGAACCACTGGTCTATGTTATAGAGCAGTAATGATCAAAGCCATTTAGCAGCTAGCTGGCATAGTGGATAGAATGCTGGGCCTGCCGTCAGGAAAACCTGGGTTAAAATCCAACCTCAGACACTTCCTATCTGTGTGACCCTGGACCAAGTTACTTAAACCTGTTTGCCTCAGTTTCCTCATCTGTAAAATGACCTGGAAAGAAAATGATAAACCACTCTAGTATCTTTGCCAAGAAAATCCTGAATTGGATCACAAAGAGTCAGACATGACTGAAACAACTAAACAAAAAGCAGAAAAGTAGATCTATGGAACAAACTGAACAATAAAGAATTAGAAATAATTGAATTCAATAACCCAGTGTTTGAGAGATTCCCAAACATAAATTACCTAGAAAAGAACTCTCATTTGATAAAAACTGCTTGCAAAATAGAAAGCAGTCTGGAAAATATTAGGTTTAGATCAACATCTTATATCATATTCCACAATAAATTCAAAACAGATATATGACTTGATTATTAAATATCATACCATAAAAAAATTAGAAAAGAAGCATATTACATACATTCAGTAGTCCTAGGAAGGAGAGGAATTCTTAACCAAGTAAGGGATAGAATTAATTATAAAAGATACAGATAATTTTGATTACAGGAAATTGAAAAGCTTTTGTACAAACAAAATTACTGTATCCTAAGATAAGAAGAGAAATGGTCAAGGGTGGGGCAGATCTTTGAATCAAATATCCCTAATAAGGAGTTTGATATACAAGATATATAAACAATTAACAGAACTATATAAAAAAGCCATTCCCCATTAAAGAAGTAGCCAAACAAAATGAACAGTTATCAAAAGAATTATTGTACACTATTAACAACCCTATAAAAAATTCAAATTCACTAATGATAAGAGAAATACAAATTAAAACAACCCTTTAATTTCACCTTATACCCAGAAATCAGCAATGATTACAAAAGACAGTAATAGTTCATGTTGGGAGAGGTTGTGGAAAGGCATAATGCATTATTGGTGGAGTATTACATGGATATAAACATTCTGGAAAGCAATTTAGAATTATGCAAATAAAGTTGACCCAGAGAGTCTGCTATAGGCATATACTCTAAGGAGGCCATTGATAAAAATTAAGACTCTACACCAAAATATTTATAACAGAAGTTTTTGTGATAACAAGACTTGGAAACAAGATGCCTATCAATTGTGGAATGGCTAGACAAATTGTAGTACATGAGAATAACAGAATATAATTGTCCTTTAGGAAATGACCAAAATGATGAATACAGAAGATCATGGAAAGAATTACATGAACTGATACAAAGTGAAGTAGAGCTAGAAAAAGAATATACATAATGATTACCATGTAAATGGAAAGAATGAGTGGATGAATATTAGGCAATTACAATTTTAGCAATGTGCTAAACAATAGAGATAGAAAAGGAAAGAAAAAAAGACAGCTTCTGTTCTCAAGGAGCACATACTATAAGTAAGTTAGACAACACAGAAAAGAAAGGTTAGCTGCAGTGCAGATGGAAAGCCCCAGAAGTCCTAAGAATGCTGCAGTAGGGCAGATGGCAAGGTCCAAAAGCCAGGTAGCAGTACCAGGGGACTGCAGAGAAGAGAAGCAGGGCAGATGGTAAGCCCTGGAGACTTTGGGAGCTAGTGGCAGGGCACATGGCAAATTCTGATGGTCCTCTATCTTATGTAAAGGAATGGAATGTTTGACTCCCATTTTATGTGAACTCTGTGCAGTCAAGCAACCTAGCAGTTGTGGATGGGGATTTCAGAGGAAGAGAGTAAAGCGGGAAGGAATCAACAGTAAAACAATTGAAACAATTGTGAAATGATAATGAACGAGTCTGCTTACAAAGAAGAGATATGAAAAGTTTCTCTCCCCGAGCCCTTACCCATTTTCTTTTGCAGAGGTCAAGGTCCATGATGGGAGTGGGATATTGCATATAACATCAGATTTTTTCAATGTGTCGATTAAGGTTGCTAATTTTTTCTCTTCTTCTTTTTCTTTTTTTTAAAAAATCCTTTATTATGAAAGATGGCTGTCTGGAGGGGTGCTTGAAAACAATAGAGGGGGATATTTAGACAATAAAAGCAAAATAGATCAATAAGAATCTATTTGAAGAAAGAAGGTGGTGTTTAGAAGTAGAATTTAAATTTCAGGACCAAGAATTAAGGTACAGGAACAGTGGACTCTTGGATAGGGATGGAATACATATCAATAGGGGTAGTAAATATACATGTATGAGCTGTATACACACATCTACCAAGTTAAATCATGAAGTCAGAGGACAAGAGGATCAGTAGAAACACATAGGAGGTAATATTCAAGAAATAGTTACTTCCAGTTCCAACATTCTAGGACTGGTTTTACAGAGAGCTCTTAGGCAGGTAGTGAGCCATTTTATGTGAGCAAATGAATATGTTAGGACAGGCACTGCATGAGTTTATGATGATCATTATTATAAATTACTGTGTGCTAAGTACAGGCATATACTTAGCTCTGTATGAAACCTGCAGGAATGCAGACTCTGGCCCAAGACTTGGTGTTAGTGTAGGATAGAGGGATAGACTGCTCGATTCAGGCAAGAAGACGTACCAATTGGGGGGAAAAAGAGGGAAATGTAAGGGGGTTGGGGGATAATTCTTTGGAACAAATAGTTTCTCATCAAAATAAAACTAAAATAAAAATGTTTGCAAAATTGATCTGAATATCTGAAATTTAAGTTAGTTGGACTGACCTTGAATGTGGAAGGAATAATTGGGGGGAAATGCCCCAGCTAAGAGAAACCAGTGACTTTCTTCTCTCTGATTGCCTAGACAGGATGAGGCAGCTTATGTCTAGGAATGAGCTGAAACCTCCTACTACTAAAGAGACAGAGACAAAATCAAATCCATACACCTGAGAGTCAGGTGGGAAAGGAGAACTAGAGATCAGGAAATGGAAAGACTGAGCCTTGGGTACAAGGCCAATGTCAAATGCTGACTTTGGGAAAGACCAGTAGAAATCTTTTAGATATCTCTGGGAATTGCTATGTTGCAGAGAATTCTGTAAGTGAAAAAGCTCTTTTTTAACCATTGGTCACATCCAACTGCACATGATAGAGTCTGAACCTTTGAGAGCTGGAGGGGTTTGTCCTGCATTCCTTTTGAAGAGGAAGAGGCTGATACAGAAACTGAAGTTGCATGCTAGGTCCAGTGATAATACCCTACTTGAATTAATGTCATCAGTATGATTAAAATGTAATGGTAGACTGACCAATGAAGGCCCAGGCCTAGGAACATGCACAGGAATATTTGACAAGTCCAGCTCCAAAAATCCATGATGACATAGAATGGAGGAGCCTGTACTCTACTTCTAGAGCATGCATAAGTATTCTGTGACTATTTCTTTGCAGTAAAGAAAAGGCCTTTTATTTTAAATCACAGTTCTGGCTTACCAGCAAACCAAAGGCAGCTAGTTGGTATGAGCTGGGGTCAGGAAGATCTGAGTTCAAATGTGGCCTCAGACACTTATGAGCTGTGTGACTCTGGGCAAATCACTTAATTTTCATTTGCCTCAGTTTCCTCAACTATAAAATGGGGATAATAACAGTACTGACTCTGCAGGATTGTTATGAGAATCAAATATATGTAAAGTGCTTTGTAAACTTTAAAGAGCTAATTAATGATAGCTACTAATATTTACTACTCTTTTTTCATTAAACACTTAACTACACAGACATTGAATGTCTTAAATAAATATTAAATGATTATGAATTTTGAGACTTATGAATGCATAAAAATTTGCCCTATTTAAATGAATTGTGATTTCATTTTTGACTCAGGAGAATTTACCCTATGAGGATGAATTTTTCAACAATGAATTTACTCTGGTAAGGTGAGAGAGCACTGTACTGAGCTAAAATCTGCCTCTATTTGCCCTGGTAATTTCCTTGGGAACCACTTGAAATAAATATAATCCTTTTCAGATGATAGGTCCTCAGATATTTGACCAGGACCTTTCCTGAAGCCTTTTCTTCTCTAAGCCAGAACCTTCTGGTTTTCTTCAACTCATCTTCCTATGGCATGGGAGTGGTCATCCTCCTCTATACATATCCTGGGGTGTCTATGTGCTTTCTAAACTGGTGCCTACAAAAGAATGCAGTACTCCAGGTATGGTCTGATGAGTGACAAGTGCAGCAGGCTAATGTCCTCCCTTGTTCTAAAGCCTCAGTTCTAATAGTGTGGCCTCGTACTAAATTAGCTTTTGGGAGGGCAGCCACAGTGCCCCATGTATTGCTTTTAATACTGCTTTCAGGTACTGAGTCTTTTCTGGAATTTCCCAGTCAGGTGATCATAGAGCTAAGAAGAAAAGGTTGACAAGAGGAAGGAGAAGACAGAGCAGAACAAAACCATATACTGAGCTCCAGTAGACTGTAATCGCCTTCAGGGAAGGGCCATTTTGTGTTTGTCTTTTGTATACCCAGCACCCAAACAGAGTGTCTGCCATGTAGTATATGTTTAATACATGCTTGTTGAATAATGAGTGAATGAATAAAGTAAGCTGCTCTGTAATTGAATTGCCATTAAAAAGATGGCTTGAGTCTTCCATATAGTGAATACATTAGTCAAAGAATGAGTAGTGAAATGGGGCAGCTAAAAAAGGATACTATTTTTGGCTGTGCCATTTATTAGGTAGATGGCCGGACCAATCACCTACCATCTCTGCATCTACAAAGGGAGGGTAACAAGACTTCTCTTGCCAACCTGCTAGAGTTACTATGAGGATCACATGAAATCACAAATGTAAGTTATTTGGAAACTGTAAAATACTATCCAAATGTTATGAAATCACAAGAAAACAGACAGGGACAAGTGATATCCCAGCTTTCAAGAAAACTGAAAGCAGGGCCATTCTGAGGAAATGTCTTTGGACTAAACTGACTGCAAGAGACTACGTTAGACTTTGGCTGCATGTGATCCAGGATTTAAGGTAATATTTCAATGGATGGATTTTGGGGGCCTAAGGACCTGAATTAGAGGAATAATTAGGGTGTGTTATCAACTTAGGGGCATAGGGTATAGTCCTGGGGTAGCTAGGTGGCACGGTGGATAGAATCTGAAGTCAGGAAGACCTCAGTTCAAATTTGGCCTCAGATACTTACTAGCTCTGTGACTCTGGGCAAGTCACTTCACCCTGTTTGCCTTAGTTTCCTCATCTGTCAAATGACCTGGAGAAAGAAATGGCTAATCTTTTCAATGTCTCTGCCAAGAAAACCTCCAATGGGGTCACAAAGAGTCAGACATGACTGAAATAACTGAACAACAATAAGGGTAGAGTCCCATGGGGAAAGAAAACTTCACACCCCATTCTAGAAATTTCAGGGCTGGAGTGGAATAGTAGTTATCTTACCATGCTCTAGCCTAATGTGCTGGAGCGAGTGCTGAGCTTGTCAGAAGGACCTAGGTTCAAACCCTAACTATAATATTTACGTGATTGTTAGTTATGGGATTGTATATGCCATGACTTCTCTGAATCTCAGTTTCTTCATCTATAAAATCAAGATAGCACTATCATACCTGCCCTGCAGAGATGTCAAAAGTGACAAATGATACACTGCATAAAAATGTTTTGCAAACATTAACGCACTATATAAATGTCAGAATATACGATTGTTGTTTGAATTAAAGATTCAGAGCAGTGATCGAGGGAGTTTTAGAGGAAGGGCATCTTTGTTTCTGGAATTGTATGGGACTATTCCTTTGTATTTCTCATGACGCCCCTCAACAACCTTTACATTCCACACAAATTGGCCTCTCCCCATCTTCATGCCTTTGCCTTTGGCCATGGATGTACTCCATACCCACTTCTGTCTGTTAGAATAGTCTGGCTCCCTTCAGAGCTGTTTGGTCAGCTCCTCTACGAAACACAATAGCCTGTGGGCCTACTGTAATTTACCGGTTGGCATAATGCCTCAACTTAGAATAAAACAAAATAGAAGTAGCACTGCATAGAACATTAGAAGTCACCTCGTCCCATCCCTTTATTTTATAGAGAAAGAAACTAAACCAAGAGGTTAAGTAACTTGCCCAAGGTCATACAGCTAGTTAGTTATGGGCAGGCCCAGGTCTCCTCACTCCCAACACAGTGTTCTTTCCATTTGTTAACTTTTTGAAAAAATGAAATTTCTTTCTACTGTACTGTAGCCAATACTCTTTTAGGCAGAGAAGTTCTTGTCAATTTGTTAGGCTATTTTACTTCCGTTTGGGAATAAAAACCAAGGAGGTAAATACTCCTGTATACACCAGTTTCCAATGGAGTTCTACATCTCAGGCTTTCTCTCACTGGTGGAGTCGATGATCAGACTTCAGCTTGGGAAGCCTGAGCAGGTGGATTGAGGGAGTGGGGATACTCCCAGTATCCTTCAAGTTATGAGCTGGCACTCTCCTTCCCAGTATCAGTTCATTTTGTTCCAGGAGATGGTGGTGTCACAGAATCCTGTCTCTCACCAGGCAGCCATTACTCCCCCAGTTGGAAAAGGATTGAACAAAAGGGCAGGTCACAGGACCCATGAACCTCAAGGTCATCTCCTGATTCAGAAGGAAGTTGATTGTTCTGAATAGGCTCATAGTGGGATCTAACCAAACAGTGATCAGGCTATTTCGGGCTCCCCCTCAGATGGGATAAAAATATCAAGAGATAAGGGGAAGGGGTGTTGCTTGCCATCCATTATGTGAGATTATTTTGGTTCTCTTCCTTAACTCTGGCTCCCTCCCATAGCCTTCTTTCTTCCTCTTCCTTTCCCTCCCACACCCAGCTTCTGAAGCCACTCCATCTCTCTGGCTAGAGGTGAAACAATAGGCTGGACATTTTGTGACTCCTCTGGTCCTTAGCAGGGTTATTGGCAAAGAATCCACAGCCTAAAAGAAGAATCTGGGGCAGAACCTGGGACATGTCCAGAAACTATAATGGAATGCCCCCAAATTGTCTCCAAACAGCCCCTGTAATGTCATAAACTCCATAGTGACCCCTTCAGCCTTTCAGTTTGGCTGAAAATGGAGCACTGGCCCTGGATTCAGGAGGACCTGCGTTGAAATACAGGCTCAGACACATAACGTTTACTAGCTGTGTGACTCTGGGCAAGTCACTTAACCCCATTGCCTAACCAAATAAATAAATTTTTAAAAAAATAGAATGTAAGCTCCTTGAGGGCTGAGACTCCAGCACTTAGCCGGGTACTTAGCACTTAGTAAATATTTCATAAATGTTTACTAAATTGAATTAATATCAACAAGTATTTCTTAAGCACTGGGCTACATGCTAGGGATACAAAGACAAAGGAAAAAAATCCCTGCCCTCAAAAAGCTTATATTGTACTGGGGTGGGAGGAACATGACAGGTATACAGATAAATAATTTATATTCACATGCACATATAAAGTGAACTCATATAGTATCCCTGCCTGGATGAGGCTGTATAGGTCACATAGGTGCCAAAAACTCAACATGGTCAAAACAGAACTTGTTACCCTTCCCAACACACCCTCCCATCTTCCTGACTTCGCTATTTCTGTTGAGGATATCACCATCCTTATCATCCAGGTTCATAACGTAAGAGTCTTTCTTGTCTCTTGCCTCTCTCTCACCCCTTCTACCTCAACAGTTGCCAAGTCTAGTGGATTCCACCTCCACACTATATCTTGCCTCTATCCCCTTCTCTGCATTCACATTGCAACCACCTAAGTTTAAGCCCTCATTACCTCTTTCCTGGATAATTTTAATAGCCTTCTAATTGATCTCTCTGCCTCAGCCTCTCCCTCGATCCATGTAATACAGGATATAAAATAAACCCATGTAAATCATCAACATTTCTATTTATTACCAACAAAACCCAGAAGGAAGAGGAAGATATAAAAAGAAATTCCATTTAAAATAAATGCACACAGTATAAAATACTTGGAATCTACCTGCCAAGACATGGGACGCAGGAACTATATGAAGACAATTACAAAACATTTTTCATACAAATAAAGATAGATCTAAATAACTGCAGATATACAACTTGCTCATGAGTACGCTGAGTCAAGATAATAAAAATGACAATGCTACCTAAATTAATTTACTTATCTGGTGCCGTACCAATAAAACCACCAAAGAATTACTTTATAGAGCTAGAAAAAATAATAACAAAATTCATCTGGAGAGACAAAAGGTCAAGAATAACCAATGAGAAGGAAAACGTGAAGGAAGGGGGCCTAGTAGTACCAGATCTCAAACTACACTGTTGTTGTTGTTCGCTTGTTTCAGTCCTGTCTGACTCTTTGTGACCCCATTGGGGTTTTCTTAGCAAAATTACTGTAATAGTTTGCCATTTCCTTCTCCAACTCATTTTACAGATGAAGATCTGAGGTAAACAGGGTTAAATGACTTGCCCAGGGTCACACAGCTAGTAAGTGTCTGAAGCAGGATTTAAACTCCCACCTTCCTGATTCCAGGCCTGCTGCTCTATCCATTGTACCACCTAGCTGCCCCCAAACTATATAACAAAGTGGTCCCCACGCCATCCTTCATATAGCCACCATAGTGATATTCCTAAAGCATAGGTTAGAGCTCAGTATTCTTCCATTCAAGAAGATCCAGTAGCTCCTTCTTACCTACCAGAGAAGACCTAGTCTGTTGGCTTTTAGAGTGTTTTACAATTCAGACTACTTTTCCAGACTCACTACATATTACTCTCTTCCCCTCAACTCTACATTCCAGTCAAACTAGCCTGCATAGTAGCTCTCTTTTGTATACAAAACTCTCTTCTATACACACACATATCCCCTCTGTGCTTTTTCAAAGGCTGTTTCCTATGTCTAGAATGCCTCACCTCCACTTAGTAGAATGCCTGCTTTCCTTCAAAGCTCAGCTCCATTGCCACTCCTTTCAGGAAACCTATCCTGACATTCCCCCCTCCCCAACCCAGTTGCTAGAACTTTCCTCTTGGAAATTTTTTTTGGGGGGAAGTGTATCTATTTTGTATTTAATTTTGCATTTTTTTTCTAATCTATGTACGTTTCCTTCCAATAAAGGATCCTTGATTCATTTTTCACTTTTGTATCTCTAGCACCTAATACAATGTATAGCACATCCTAGGTTCTTTAAAAAAATGGTTCTATTGATTTAAAAAAATTAACACACATTTCTTTCTCCCATTGCCAATTAAGAAAGAAAATAAGAAAAACAAAAATATTATAACAAATATGCATAATCAAGCCAAATTCCTACCTTATCCAGGTCCAGAAAATATATGTCTCATTCTGCATCACTGCCTCTCTGTCAAGCAGTGAGTGTTTCTCATCATTAATCCTTCAGAATCATGATTGGTC